GCCCTTGCGCGCGTGCTGAAGTGGCAGGGTCCGTGTCAAATAAAACAATGCGGGCCGCTCTCGCACGTCTGCCGCGCGCGCATTTCGAACCCCTTCGAACACCTTCACCACCGACGCGAAGACGCTGCCAGCGTCGCTGTCAGCATCGCCGCAAGCATCGCTACTATCATCATCGTGTCTACCGTCGTCGGCGTTGCCATGATACCGCGCCCACCCAAGTCGCCGACTCGCACTGAAGTGCCCACTGGAATGTGCCGAGCGGTGAGCGCCACCGCGGCCGCGTCGGTCGCGCCAAACTAGCTGCGCGCGCGAGCATGCGCGGCCGCAGGGATGCACCGCTCAACGCCAAGCACTCATCGCAATCGCTTCCACATGGGGTTTGCAGACAACGTTGCGGGTGGGTGGGTGGGATGTTTGCGCGAGCGGTGGAGTGGGCAACTTCAAGCTGAGCATGTGATTGGTTCCCCTTTATAACAATATATATATATATATATAAAAACTCGACCCCCCCGCCGGCGATTCTTTCTAAAAAACCAATACATTCAACCCCCCCCTCCGGCGTTACCCCCCCCCCTTTGGGTATGTAAGTCATATGCGACTCTGACCACAGTGTCCATCCCACAGATAAACTTACACTATCCCGGAGGGGCCGGGATCGCCCCCCCTGAGGTTCCATTGTAAACAACGATGCGCGGGGACATCTTTTGTTCTAACATAAGACTTGTTTCGCGAATCAGGTAGGACGAAGTGCGCACGCGCGCGTCGTCGCGCGCGCATGCCGAAATCCTCCAAAAACCTTCGGTGCCGGAAGGATTTCGCAATCGAGTTTCCCAACAACATACAAAAACACATGGTTTCGCAACACCGATGTGCTAAAAAAGTTTCCGCGCGAACTCTTGCGAAATCTTAAAAAGGTTTTTCTAGATTTTCGCAAAACGCTATCAAACGGGCTTCGCGCGCGCGGATGTCAAAATCTGTCAAACGCCCTTGCGCGTGTGCCGTCGCGAGAGCCCTCTGCAACAAATGGGACGAAGTGTACACGCGCGCGTCGTCGCGCGCGTATGCCGAAAACCTTCAAAACCCATCGGATTCGGAAGGATGTCGAAATCGTGTGAAACAAATACAACAACACAAGGTTTCGCAACCTGGATGTTCAACAAAAGCGCGCGCGCGCGCTCTTGCGTCGTCGTCGTCGTCGCCATCCTCCCTCCTCCCGCGTCGCCGTCGTCGTCGCCTACGTCGTCCTGTGTCTTTCCTCGTGTTCGTCGTCGTCGTCCTCTTTGGCGTCGTGGTCGTTTCCGTCGTCGTTGTCGCCGTAGTCGTCCTTCCTCCTCCTCCCTCGTCGTCGTCGTCGTCCATCGTCGGCGTCCCGTCGTCGTCCCTCCAATCACGTCGCCGTCGTCGTCGTCGTCGTCGTTGTCGTCGCCGTCGTCCCTCCTCCCTCGTCGTTGTCGTCGTCGGCGTCGCCGTCCTTCCTCCTTCTTCGTCGTTCGCGTCGTCGCCGTCCTCCCTCCTCCCTCGTCGTTGTCGTCGTTGTCGCCGTCTTCGTCCTTCCTCATCCCTCGTCGTCGTCTTCGTTGGCGACGTCGTCGTCGTCTTCGTCGTCGTCGTCGATGTCGTCGTCGTCGAAGTCGTCGGTGTCGTCGTAGTCGTTGTCGTCGGTGTCACCGTAGTTGGTTTTAGAAGGTTTTGCAAACCAAGTTGCGGGTGGGTGGGTGGGATGTTTGCAAGAGCGTGGGATGTGTCAAATCATGGGTAAAAATCAGCTGAACATCACCGATTCTCCTTATTCAACAGAGTACCCGTTGTTTCCCCTTCCCCCTCCTTCAGATTTAACGGCTCCCCGTATCGCATCGCGACTTGCATGCCAATGTGCCCCATCGTCTATCCCGAACATGGATTCATGCCATCTCAGGCAGGCCCGCGTCGCCCCACTCGCATCCCCTTCAACAGATACGCGCGCGCAGTCGTTCCTAGAGCATCATCAAATTTCAAAATTCCCATGCCGCGGCGGGGCAACATTTACACGCGCGCGTCGTCGCGCGCGGATGCCGAAGTCTTTCAAACACATAAGAATCTCCCGAAACAAATTATCCCAGCGCGACCCTACCTAGGAGTTGGAGCCCCTAGGACAGCAGCATCGCTAAGCTAAGCTAAGCGAAGCGAAACTAAGCTAAGCTGGGCTAAGATAAGATAGCTAAGCTAAGCCAGGATAAGCTAAGCTAAGCAGCTAAGCAAAGATGGGAAGCTAAGCTAAGCTAAGCTAGGCTAAGCTAAGATAAGATAAGCTAAGCTAAGTTAAGCGAAGCTAAGCTAAGGTAGGCTAGGCTAAGCTGGGCTAGGCTAGGCTAAGCTGGGCTAGCCTAAGCTAATATGAGATAAGCAAAGCTAAGCTAAGCTAAGCTACGCTACGTTAAGCTAAGCTAAGCTAAGCTCACCCAGGGGGCGCGGCGGGATCCTGGGGGAACCGCGGGGGGGATCCTGGGGGAACCGCCCGGGGCGAGCCCCATTGCCCGGCCCTTTCAAGCCTCGGGGGGAGAACCCTTCTAAGCATAGCCTAGGTAGGGAGATTGCGTTCGGGCCTGCGCGAATTGTTCAGGAAACAATAGACTGTTCAACATGCTCGCAACGCGTTGCCAGACGGGCCTCTCGCGCGCGCACGTCGGAAGCTCGAACGCCCTTGCGCGCATGATAACACAAGGACCCCCTTCAAACAGTCGGGCGAGGTGCACGCGCCCGCGCCGTCGCGCGCGCGTGCCGAAATCCATCCAGAGCGTCGCGTTTTGCACGGGCGTCAAAATCGAGCGTCTCGAACTCTACAAACGCATGCGGCTTTGCAACGTCACTTTTCAAAAATGCCTGCGTTCGCCTTCCTGCGAACACTTGGGGCAACCATGAATTGTTCATCCTGCCCAATACCTTCTGCGAAGCGGGCATCTCGCGCCGGGCGTCGAAATCAATCGAACGCCCGTGCGCGCGTGCTGGGGGGGGGGGGGGGACGATCCTCGTCAAAAAAACCACGCGGGCCACTCTCGCGCGTCGGCCGCGCGCGCATGTCGAACTCCCTCCAAAACCTTCATCACCGACGCGGGCACCGTCATCGTCTTCGGCCTGATCAGCATCGGCGCCGTCACTGACTTTGCCGTCGTCGTTGTCACTATCGTCGCCAACATCGCTACCATCATCGTCGCATCTACCGTTGTCGGCGTTGCCATGATACCGCGCCCGCCCAAGTCACCGACTCGCACTGAAGTGCCCCTCTGGGAAATACCCAGCGGTGATCGCCACCGCGGCCGCGTCGGTCGCGCCAAACTAGCTGGCCGCTGCGCGCGCGAGCATGCGCGGGCTAGCGCGGCCGCAGACATGCAACACACAACGCCAAACACTCATCGACATCGCCGAAGCATGGGTTTTTGCAATCCGAATTGAAGATGGATGGGTGGGATGGTGGCGTGAGAAATGGAGTGGGCAACGCACTGCAAGCAAACACTAACTGCATCACATGGACTGCACCGCGTGCGTTGCACCATACATAAATATGTATACATATATATATACATATATGTCAATCTATAGATATAAGTATCGGTTGTACATGTATTGCCCCACATACACTGCACCACACACATGGCACAACGTACAATACACTGCATACATTGCACACCAGGTATTGCACATCGTAGATGGCACGGCGTATTGCACAACAATTCTTGCGGCACGTCGGCTGCGCCTTATTCGTTCCCCCCACCGAAATTGCACCACCTAGGTTGCCCCACGTTGATAGCAGCGCACCTCTTGCTGAACGCATGATGTTTGGGGCCCACGCTAGCTGACATGTGTTGGTCGATTTTCGAATTGCCGCCTTGTCGGCCTTCAGAACAACCAAGATGGCCAAAGAGGCGCTCAACATCGCCCACAAGCGGCCCAAAAACTTCCGAAAAGGTTCCATATCGCCCCCTAGACGGCACGAGGCGCACACCCTGAGCCTTCGACGGCAGGGCGCGCCCGACGAAGACGGAATCCTCGTGAAACCGTCGCGGGGCCAAGCAGGAAATCTGCGAATTCACCTGGCGTCGTCGAACTTGCACCGTCGCCCCCCATGGAACCAGTGCAAAACCAAGCAAAAGACTTGTAAGCTCATGTGGTTTCGCCGACTTGCTTCGTCGGAACCATCATCGGACACACAGGAATCCGTGAAGAAATCTTGGGGAACCCTCAGGCACCCTCACGAATCTTTCAAGAGACGGCAGCAAACCTGAAATAATCCGTAGTCAGGGGTCCTTCGTGAACCATGCAGCAATCCTTTGGATTCTTCATTCAGAATGACGAAGGAATCCTCTGGAACCCTAAAAGCACCGACGGATCTCTCAGGAATCCCAGGGAATCAGTGTCAGGAATCTCCATACACCCTTCAGCAGCTTCATGGATGGCGGGTCCTTTTCAAAAGTGTGCCTCTCGCCTTAGCGCCGCGCACATTCGTTAGCCCGAGCGCGCTCTGATCCATTTGCGTGCCAATCTCCTTCTTGGGGGCCACACCGCGACTCCCGCTCTGTGGTCCCAACGATACGCTTGCGCCGAATCCCCTCCTTATGCGAGCTGTTGCGTCTGGCCGATGTCTGCCACGGGAGCCGGAACGCAGCCCACGCCCGGGTCGGCCAGAGTGAGCTCTCGCTTCGAGCAGAAGCCACGGGCGTCGCATCGCAGGCGGCACGAGGGCGGGCCAAAACAGCGCATCAGAGTCGAGCTGACTACTCTCGACTGCCCGCGCTGCTTTCAATCCCCACGACCGATGATTGGCAATAAAAGGACCCCTAACACTGTGGGAAGGGACCTGATTTAGGAGGGCCAGGAACATTAGGGATAGGGGATCCTGTGTGCAGATGTATCGAACCAAACTGCCCAGACTTATTACCCCTGATGCAAAGACGGGGACCTCAGTGAGGCCACGCCTGCATCGTGTTCTTACGGTCAGGGGCTCTTCTGTGCTCGATGACCCGATCCTCGTCGTAGTCCCCATCCAGCGCCTCGTCGTCTGGCGGGGGCCGCCAGTTGCCGAAGACGGGCGTGAACAGAAGCAGCGCGTGGTCAGTGAGCACGAGAAGCACCAGACTCAGGTCGTAGCGGGCCCTCTTGAGCACGAGGGTGCGGGTGGTGCTGCCGAGCTGCAGCCTCCGGCGACACGCAAGAGTGAGTGGCCCTGGGCCCTGGGCAGGAGTGACCTCTTGTGCGCGGATGCAGGGCGCGCAGGGTAGCCAAATCCAAGCGCGCAAGCCATCGCTGCCGCGCCGCGCTCCGCGGTCGGGGGCACCCACGTGAGCCCGCACCAAAGGTCACTCCGGCGAAAGGTCGCTCTGACGTCCAGCCGAAGCCTCTGCATCGCAGCGCGCATGGCGCTGTCGGCCTGGAGGGGCACCCGGTGCTTGTACGTGCCTCCGGGGGGCTGCGACAACGCGTGCAGGGAGCCGAGCATCCTCGGGCGGTCGCCCTCGTTGTGGCACACGAGAGTGAGGAACTCCTCCTCGAGCTTCCCAGAGCCCGCGGGGTTGCACGCCCAGCCGACGTACAGGGCCGAGGGCACGAAGGCCCTGACGAGCCGCGTCATGTCCGAGTAGGGGTAGAAGAGCACGATGTGCGGCGCCCTGGGGTAGTCTCCGACCGTCAGGTCCAGGATGTAGAGCCCCCTGTTCGTGAGCATACAGGCCATGCAGGCAGTCTCGTGGCTCGGGTCCTGGGTGGTCACATCCGAACCCATACCCCCCACCAACCACCGATTCTCCTGCATCGATGGGGGGCGGGGGCATGGGGCTCGGATTCCGCCGCGTGCGAGCCCTACCCCCGCCGCCCGTCGGGTTGCCTGAATCGCTGATGGGCGAGGGCTGGGCTTCGAATTTCGCCGTCGAAGTCCTGCACCAGAAGACTCTGTCCGTCCAGAAACGCGTCCACCCTGCAGAGGCTGAGCATCCGCTCGTCGGCCTCGTCCGGCTCGCGCGGCCCCTCCCCCGCGTAGATCTCTGCTCTCTTCATGGGGGGCTCCGCAAAGTCCCTGCCGAATCTGTTCAAGAACTGCTCGATGTCGACCCTGTGCCCGCCCGACTGCATCCCGCCCAGCAGCGAATTCAAGAAGGCCGACCCCTCCCAGATCTCCGGCGAGCGCACCATGATGGTGCTGAACCTTAGAGTGGGCCCCGGAAGCGGCAAGGCCGTTCACCGTTTCCGAAAAATCGTCTTGAAAATGAAAAACGGCTACACAACGGCGACCGGAAACGGCAAAAGAAACAACTCCAGGAATGGATTCGGAGCCGGGACAAATAAAACAACGGCGACGGAACTGGTCCAGAAACGGCGTCGGATCCGGCAATAAAAAGGCAAGACGGAACCGGTAACAAAAACTGCCCTGTCGCTTCGGCGGTGGAAGCAAACCACCCTTTAGTGAAAACGGCCTGTGGGGCCGAAACCGACAGGCCTGGACCCGCAAAAAGTGACGGCCGCGACGGCCTCTCCCGAAGCGAAAACGGAGCAATTCGCTAATTAATGGTCTATCAACCTCGGATCGTTCACAGGGCCCACTGAGTGCTGAACACCTCCAGGACCTCGTACCTGGCCGCGGGGCAGTGCGCGAGCAGCCCCGTCAACGCCAGCTCGACCAGCTCCATCAGCCTGCGCTCGTCGTGCGACTCTTGATGAGCCTGGGCCTGCTCTTAGGTCGGGCGTGTCCCCCCACAGGCGGACGAACCATTCAAAAATAGTCAAAGAATATTCAAAATAGTCAAGAATGGTAGAACAATCGTCCCATGGCTTTCTTTAAAACTATGTTTGAATACTCTTCTTGTAGAGGGACACGCCCGACTTAAGCCTGTGCCCTGATCGCGAACTCAAGGATTGGTTTGACGACGGCCATCGGCAGGAGCTGCTCAAAGCATGCGGCCACGAAGCTGCTCTGCACCAACCTCTCCTGTGAGACGATGCAAGACGGTATCGTGCGGCTCACCACGGAGGCAAAGGCGGCAATCTGCTCGACAAGCATGTGGCCTCTGACGACCAACCGATCGGCGAGTTTCTGGTCGGCACGCTTCACCAGGTGGGGCGACGTGGCGAAAAGGTGCGCCGCGTATCCCTTCAAGAGGTAGCAGGCCACCGCGCGCACTCTGCCCCCTGGCCTGCCACCGTCGGGCTCCCACTCCTCGTGCAGCTGCGAGGGCGGCATCTCCAGCGACTCCGTCATCAGGCGCAGGAACTTGGCCGCCACACAGCAGTCCAGCGGGTCGCACGCGCACACCGCCGCCAGCAGTCCTCAGCGGTGCACTGAACTATCAGGGACACGCAAGACTTCGGTCCGGGGGACTCGGGCTGGCCTGACGGGGGCGTCAAGGAACTGATTAGGCCGCGTCTGGAATGATACGCGAGCTCCCCCTACAAACGTCCCAAGAACACTGGACCGTCAAAATCATGACAGGCCCGTCAGCAGAACGTCGGCAGACTCGAGTTCCAGCGAGCTCGAGCCTTACGTTTCTCAAGGGGCCCAGGAAGACACAGACAGAAAGACACAAGTTAGAGGATCCCCCACACAAGATTTCAGTAGCTTCTGGACTTTCGTCCTCCCCTCCAGTCCCCTGTCTTTCTTTGATTTTTGTTTTGCGAGCAGGGCGGCACGGAGCTAAAATGCATGGTTGGTGCGTCCGAGCAGCAAGAAGACCTAGATGCGTGAATTACCAGACCTGCGCACTGGATGAGAAGCAGGAGTCGGCAATCTGCCGAGCACGCAGCTCAGCAGGCAGCGCCTCGGGCGGGCTACCGACGGAAGCTCGGGAAAGCTGTCGACTGAAGCTCGCTGAGGCGCCCCCTCTCGGGGGCGGCCAAGAGGGGGGCGTCCAAGAGGGGGAGGCGCAAATCATGGCCAGCGGCATGCGCGCGGCCCAGGGGGGCCAGGGACACAATGAAATAAGAAGAGGCGCCAGAAGATCTGAGGCATTATCATGGCCCACGCCCTGATATCCCCCCCCTAGTCATCACCCCCCTCTTTTCGGGGGCGCGCAAACATGGATTAGCTCCGCGCGGATTTCGTGGATCTGCGTTGGCGCAGGGAAGGCGCCGGAGGCGCCGCCCTGGGAGGCCCCAGCGCAAATCCAAGGAATCCGCGCGGAGCGCCAAAAGTGTATGTTCATGGCGTTTTTTCTTCGATCCATCCCGCGCTCCTTCTCTTCCCTCGCGATCTACTGACTTGGGTCCATCCAGACCCAGATCAGTCGAGCTTTGCAGGATCCTGCAAGATCCTGCAGAATCCTACACCCAAGCCCGGATCAATGCGACCCTGGCTCTGCAGGATCCTAAAAGATCTGGCGCTCTCACTGACCCCCATTTGCATTGACCACCGTCTCTTGAGCCTCGACCTCTTCCCTTGTCCTCCTTTTGCACAGATTTTCTGTCTCACCTAGGGACAATGAAGGCCCTCGGCTGTCCAGATACCTCGTGTGGCGCTTGTTGCCCTTCTCCAGCCTCCCTCGGGGCACCCTGGCACAGTTTACCACCTACGCCACCGAGGTGCCTAATCCGAATCGACCGAGATCGCCAAACAAATCGCCCAGGGAGGTGAGAGGAGGAGGAGGAGGAGGAGGAGGAGGAGGAGGAGGAGGAGGAGGAGGAGGAGGGGGAGGGAACCAGAAGGCATTGAACGCTCATGTCTCTTCGCGCTTCCGCTGAACGCTCATGTCTCTTCGCGCTACCGCCCGAGGTGCTTGCACAGCCGGTGAGCGAGGCGGGAGGCGGTCCGAGGCGAGCGAGACCCGCCCCCGGGAGATCCCGGGACCGAGTCGACGAGTGGGATGGCCGATCGAACCGAATCGCATCGGAACGAGTCGCATCGGCGGGCATCGGCAGGCTAGCAGGGCCTCCTCCGGGAGACCGCAGTCCAGATCGGAAGCCGAATCGAGGCGGAACAACACCGGATCGAATCGGACCGGAGTCGAAAGGAGCCCCGCCCCCGGCCCTCCTCGCCCCGCCCCGTTCTGCTCGACATTCCTCAGCTCGGCGGCGAGCCTGGGGCGGGAGTGAGAGGGAGCGGGCCTTCTCAACAGGCTCGGACGTTCTCGGGCCTCCTGAGAGGTTATCTGAGCCTTCCACGCAGGCACATAGCGCTTCTCATACAGCTGGGGCCAGGCTTCAAGAAACATTCCGCAAGAAACCATCCACAAGAAACCCAACCCTGAGACCCCAGGACGTCCATTGATTCCAGTGTGGGAACGTCACGATTTCCAAAACAAACCACCGAAACCCAAGACACCCAGGGCACCCTGGAGGCAAGCAGGGTGTTTCTTGACATGGGCCTCCACTGTAAGGCGAGGGCTTCCGAGAAGCCCCGCTGCCTTCTGAAAAGGCCTTCTCCTCCTCACTTCCCCCCTTCCCTCGCCGCCGATCATAGGCCTCCTCGATGGGGTCCGAGTAGATAGGCTCGGAGGATCGCGCCGCAACGCCACTGCATCGGCGATGCATGATCGCTATCGGCGATGCATCGGCGCCATCGGCGTGGAGAAAATCAGGCTCCACATTGAGCCGCTTCGCCGATGCGTCGACGATGCGGCGCGACCCTCCGACCCCATCTGTTCCGACCCCATCTGGGAGGCCTAGAGATCAGAACGTGTGACAGCGCCAATAAGTGCTGGTCCACCCGAGGTCCCTCGACACGACGCAGGCGGCTCAGGGAAGCCCGACGCACGCTGCGCGCTGTCGGCGGAGCCGAACGGGGTAAGCACACACACACACACACACACACACACCCACATTAAGACGAAGCCAGGATGTGGAAAAATCCGAGTGAGGATAATCAGGAATCTCTGAGACCCGGCGGCTCTGGAGGATGCATCGGGCGCCGCGGTCTTCTCAAGGCGATCCGGGACACTCTGAGCGCGTTCCGGAATGCTCCCTGGAACTGACTTATCCTCATCCTGGCCCCGCCCGACACACACTGGGCTAACGCACGTCCTGAGGATCATCGACTGTTCTGTGCGCCGCCGGCGGGTCCCGCGACCGTCACCTTGTGGCGGACCGAGGCCACGGTGGCCTGCTTGAGGCGATCGTGGCCGGACGTCCGCAGCATCACGAAGAGGCCCCGCAGCGCCGCCGACACCAGATACGCGGGGTTGATGGAGCCGTCCGCGCGCCACAGGCTGTCCAGCTGCTGCCTCTCGGCCGCCTGGACGGCACCCACGCCCTGGAGGGGCTGCCTGCGCACGGGCTCCTCGCCGGCGTCCCAGTCGAGGAGGGACTTCATCAGGTACCGGCGGTCCAGCCGCTCGTCTTGCAGGTCCCCCTCCTCCTCTCGGCCCGCGGCCGCATGCAAATAGTGTCAAGTCGGGCCTGTCTCCCTGCAGGCCGATTTGGGACGAAAAACTAAACATACCCAACAAATGCCCTAAATCATTCAAAAATTGTCAAAACATCGTCCGCAGACTATTTGTTGACTATTTTCAATACTCCTCCTGTAGAGGGACAGGCCCGACTTGAAAGCAGTGAGGCCACGGACCGGCGTGACCCATGGCGCGCGGCTTGGCGGCGGCGGCCTACGGTGCGACGGCGGCCTGCGTGCCTGGTTCTTGAGGGGGGGTCAGCACGGGGGACGGGCCGAAGGGAAGGTCGGCGGCGAGCGAGGGGGGGAAGTGAGAAGCAGAGGGCCTTCTACGAAGGCAGCGGGACTTCTCAGAATCCCCCGCGCCCTCTGAGAGGTCTCTTCCTGTCTCCCGTGGGATGGCTCGGACGACTTCTCACAGAAGGCCGGGGACCTCCCAGCCTTCTGAGCAGGCCTGCCCCGCGCACTTCCCCCCCCCCATCGCTCGCCGCCGCGACAGACTCCCAGACCCGAGAGGCAGCGGGGATGCATCGCTGAAAACCTGGCAGCCGGCCCGTCGCAGCAGAGCCACATGCGCTCCCGGGCGGGGCGGGGCGCCCGGACGCCGGCTGGCGAGGCACGGACGGGCCACTGGGGGTGGCTCCCCCCCCCCTTCGGGCCAGTCCCCACTCCGTCCCCAGACCTTGGTCCTAGAAACGCCGGGGGTGTGGTTTTTCCCAACCATCCTGTGGTGTTGGGTCCTCGTTTTGAAGAGACGGTGCCCCGCGTCTCCTCTCCTTCCTTCCTTCCTCCCTCCGCCCCCTCCCTCGTCACCGCACCCAATTTGGCACACCCCTCACACGTTTCGTGGCCCCATAGGGAGCTCCACCGAAGGCCCCAGTGGCTGCGTTCGCATGGCGGCGCCGCACCCATTTCGGCACACCACTTACACGCTTCGTGGCCCCATAGGGAGCTCCACCGAAGCTCCCAGTGGCTGCGTTGGCATGGCGGCGCCGCACCGAAGAAGATGTTCACTATTGCGGTACTCACAGCTGCATATGGTTGGGTCCTTTCGCCAGGCTAATTTCAAGATCGGCGTTTTTGTTTTTGTTCCGTTCTGGTTGCCGGTTGTTGTGTGGAGGTTGGAGCCGTTTTGGCCACCGTTTTGTTTCCCTTTTAGTCGACCGCAACCAGAAAAATTGAAAACGAATGATCCCAGCGTGCGACGGGATGTTTGTTACGCTGTCTCGGCCTCTGGGGTCCCCTCCTGGGCCTCGGGGCCGTCACAAAGCGACTCAGGATGAAAAAAGCATGTCCCAGGGAATGATCGAGACTTCTGGGGGCCGACACCGTGAACAAATCATGTTGTCGGGGTCCGTCGTTGCCCCTGAGGTCTGTCCCCCGGAAGCCGCGCGTCAAAGGCCACCCCAGCGAAGGGTCACTCTTGCGCTCAGCCGAGTCCTCATGCTCGTCGGCAAGGTCCGGCACAGCGGTGTCCCAGTCGAGGACCTTCCCGCACCACACCTTCAGGTCCCTGATGACGCCGCAGAAGAGGGCGTCCCTGGACCAGTGCGACCTGCCGACGAACAGGGTGGACCTCCGGAAGGCGGCGGGCGCGCAGCCGTGCGTCTTCTCCCCCACGAGCACGCCGTCGCGCAGCACGCGCATGTGGCCCGAGGCGCTCACCGTGCACAGGTACTTGTTCATCTGCCCCACCTGTATGCACTCGGCCACCACCAAACTGGCTTGCTCTGCGCCGCTGTAGATCTGGAACATCAGGTTGTTGGTCTCCTTTTGGTTGCAGATGATGATGTTTTCCCTGGGCGCCCCGGAGCCGAAATCGATGATGCGGCTACCGTAATTCAGCGCGTCCCACCTGGCCTCGAAGAGGATGGTGGTAGCCCCCTGGATGCTGCCCTTCCACTCCGAATGCTTGCGCAGATCGACGGTCTCCTCGACCTTCTTGGGGGCGGCCAAGAGGGGGGCGTGCAAGAGGGGGTCTGGTAAATCATGGCCCGAGGCATGTGCGAGGACGAGGGGGGGGGACCAGGGGACGCATCGAAGGCTGAAGAGGGGCCATGAGAGATATCATGATCCCCGCCACGATATCACCCAAGCCAGTAATTCCCCCCTTGTTCAGAGCCCAACTACCCTGTGGCGACGGCCCGTCACCGCACAGTCTTGGAACTTCGGACCCAGTCGCTCGAGACGTCCTTGGAGAATGGCTCGAGTCCCAAAACCCCACGGTGACCTCGAACCCCCACTTGCGGGCAAGATTTATATCCACATCCAGTGCATGTTGAACTTTCTTGGAAGGAGAGCCACAAGGCCGAGGCGAGCTGGGTAATCCGAAAGCCCTTATAACGGCGACGAGGCGACGATCGAAAGCAGTGCCCCGGCACTGCTTTGAACGCGTTCAAAGCAGTGCCCCGGCACTGCTTTGAACGTATGATATGATGATATGATGATGATTATGATTGATGATGATGATTTTTCCAGCGTACACTGTCCGCAACTGCGGCAATCAACATCATGCTCCACTTGCCCGCAACTGCGGCCATCACCAACGCTGCCCCTCGAAGCTCCGCGGAGGGCGCTCGGCAGGTCGCCCGCTCGAGCCCCACTCGACTTCACGCTGAGGAGGCGAGCCATCAGGGGCATTGTCCGCAACTGCGGCATGATCCGAGACTTCCCCAGCAATGCAGGGCAATGGCGAACAGAAAACATTTCGATATAGGTTTTAGATAGGTTCAAAAGTAGGTTCGGGAGATAGGTTCGCAAGCATAGTAGGTTCCAGGAAGAAGGTGCAACGCGCGGGGAAAACGTGTCATCGGGCAGATAGCCTCCCGTTACTGGGTTTGCCAAAGCGCGTCGGCGCAAATGCCGCGGGCAGCTAAGTTGGCGAAGCGAATTCGCCAAACTAGCCCTGGCGAGTGCACCCGGGGACGTTCCCTGGCCGCGGTAACCTCGCCAAGAAGGTTTGCAATGAAAAACGGCGTCAGGGCTGCATTTCAGGCAGGGGCCGCGACACTTTTCGCGCGATGCACCCTCGGGCACTAAACATAGAAAATTAACGAGAGCGGCTGCGGAGAAGACCTCCGAAAACACGACCCGCCAGAAAAGCAGTCACGACGATGGGCGACCCAAAAATCAATTGGGGCAGCCCCAGCAACTGGCACGGCGAACAACGCAACTCAAGGAATCCCGGACAAGCCGGGCCGCCACCAACAATAACCCCGTACCAATACCGTGCCCCGGCGGGGTTCGGACACGCCATGGCTCCTCCTCATTATCACGGCCGCCCCGCCCAAGGTCATTCTGCCCTCCCCAAAGCCACTCGTTATCAATCGCATCATGCTTCCCATCATCGCCCCCCTTGCCTCACCATCCTCCCCCTCGTCAGCCGCAGCATCCACGTTCTCATCCTCCTGCCCCCGATCCTCCCCGCCCTCCCCGCCCCCCCCTCCTCCTCCTCCTCCTCCTCCTCCCCCCCCTCCTCCTCCTCCCCCTCATATTCCCCATCTTGTTCCTACCTTTTCCCCCTCATCCCCCCTTCATCCGCCCCTCATCCTCCGCCCGATCCTCCGGGTCCTCTTGGTCCTCCTCCTCCTACTCCTCTCTCCTGTTCCTCCTTCCTCCTGGCCCTCCGTTTCCTCGACCTGGCTCTCCTCCTCCTCCTCCTCTTCTTCCTCCTCCACATCCTCCTCCCGGCTCTCCTCATCCACCTCCTCCTCCTCCTCCTCTCCCATTCCTCTTCCTCCTCCTCCTCCTCCTCCCCCACATTCTCCTCCACCTCCTCCTCCTCCTACCTTCAATCCCTGACCTTCCATGCTTCCGAAAACAGTTTGAAGTAGGTTTGAAATAGGTTTGAAGTAGGTTTGAAGTAGGTTCGAAGTAGGTTTGAAGTAGGTTTGAAGTAGGTTTGAAGTAGGTTTGAAGTAGGTTTGAAGTAGGTTTGAAGTAGGTTTGAAACCTACTTTGAGGCCTCCGAAACCTACTTTGAGGCTCCTAAAACCTATTTTGAAGCCTCCGAAACCTACTTTGCGCTACCGAAAACCTACTTTTGGAATCCGGAAACCTTCTTTGGAACCTACTTTGCAAAAACAAATTCTGCAAACCTACTTTCCGACCTACTTTGGGGGCGCGGTTCCTTGAAACATCAGCACACGCTTGCCCGAGCCTTTCCCAGAAGTCGCCCCCGGGGGCGGCGCGCCAAAAAAGGAATCTGCGAAGTACCCCCAGAAGGTGAGCAAACCCAAAACACTTGTAGGTTGCCCCCGACAGGCGGGAGCCCCCCAAAGGGGGCGGTCTCCCCCCCCCCCGAGGGTCGAGGATCGAGCGCGATTTCGCTGTCGGGCGACAAGCGAACGTACCGCGACAGGACAGGGCCTTTTGGCAGCCCCCCCGCTGGCGGGCAGGGGGCCGCCGCCTGGCGCCCTAGGTTCTTCAGAAACCAAACCTGATGCGGCCGCCCCCCGCCCCCCGGGGCCCCTCCGGGCCCGGCCCGACGGAGGCGCCACTCCCCTTCCGTTTCTTTTTCCTCCTCCCACCTCTCTCCACCTCCTCTCCTCTTTCACGCGCCCTCATTATTCCAGCCTCCCTCCACCTCCTCCCCCCGGAAACGCCACCTCCCCCCTACCCGCCTTCTGGAGCCCCCCACCCTCCCGTTTCTGACCTTCTTAACCTTCCTGGTCCTCCCTCTCGCCCCCCCCCCCCCTCTCCCTTGCTCGGGCCCGCGGCCCTCGCCCCGCCCTCCATGCCCCACTTCCCGCTGTGGTCAGACCAAGGGGGAAACGCAATGCCCCCAGATCTCAGGACGGAGGTGGTTTAGAGCGCTTCCTGTTCCAACAGCCCCCAGTCTTCCCTTCGGGGATGGATGCGCCCCTCCCCCCCCTCCTTCCGGGGCTTGCAATGGGGGGCGGCGGATCGGTGGAGCGCCCGGGACGGTCAAAGATAGAGCCGGCATGACCTCGCAGAATGCAACGCGGTCTCACAGATGGTTCAAGATAGCCCAAGATGGATCAACATTGTTTCCCGCATGCTCCAAGAAACCCAAATGCCGCTCCGAGACCGCCCCAAGCGGCCGCGGAGCCACCCAATAACACCCCCGAGAAGCCGAAATCTTCCCAAATCGCACGAGACACGAATGAATTGGGCCTTTCGGCCCATGCGCTTCCGAAGACTTTGGAAGCCTGAAGATAAGCCCCGAAGGAGTCCAGAAGAACCCAAGACAGCGCACTTCACGAATTACTCGGCTGGCTTGCTAGCAGAAGCCGCGCCTTGCCGGCGGCATTCCAGCATTTCCCCGAGAAGCTTGTTTGGAAAATATCATTACTGACCCGATCCCGACAAGTTAATTTTGATATTGTGTTCCCGACAACCTTTCCTGGAAAGCTACTTTTGCACATGAATGTCGCATTCCTTTCCCCTGAAAGTTTCTCGCGGCAATCGGTTTCGCAATCCTTTCCCTTCGAGTTACCTGCGCCGACCACTGTTGCCAGGCGCGCTGCAGACCTACTTCGCCGACCTACTTCAGGAGCTACTCTAAACCTACTTCATTTGTTTTGCGCCTCAAACAAGCCCTGCATTCAAAGGGAA